GAGAGCAGCTACTGGTGTGGTGTAGGGGAGCAGTGCTCAGTGAGGGCAATGTAAAGAGGTAGAGAAACTGTCATCACAGGAACTGGAGAGGGTGTTGGTCCTCAATTCTGATGACCTGAGTTTGATCTGCTAACCCACATGGTGGAGGGGGCAAACTGATCGCTGAGGTTGTCCTCTAATCTCCACAGGTGTGCCATGACACCTCATGACTCCTCCACCCTGCCCAACCCACCCATAAAGAAAAACTTTCTGTTTTGTTTTTTGTTTTTCTGTGTAGCATCCCTGGCTGTCCCAGAACTCGCTTTATAGACCAGGCTGGCCTTGAACTCACAGAGATCTGCCTACCTATGCCTCCTGAGTGCTGGGGGATTAAAGGGGTATGCTACCAGGCAAGGCAAGAAAATGTCTTTAAAAATGCAAAGAGGAAGGAGGGGAACAGGAACACGTGAGTGTACTCTCTCTCTCACACACACACACACACACTCACACACACGTGTACACACACATGCACGTGCACACACATGTGCGCACACGCAGGCAAAAGTGAAAGGAGAGCACTTGGGGAAAGTAAGGGAAGAGGAGAGGCAGGAGGAGCACTAGTGGGAGGGTATGATCTAATACATTACATTCGTGCTTTAAAATATCATAATGAAACATTATATATATAATTAATACATAATAGAAGAGAGTTCTTCACTTGTAGGGAAGAATTCATTGGGAGGAGGGCCTGAGGGGGTTGGTGAAACACACTTGCAATCCTAGAACTTACTGGGGAGTTGGAGGCACCAGCTCCATCCCTGGCACCTGACCTCCAGCTCCATTGTCCTGCACTTTCTGACTGGAGACAATGTAACAGACTTCCTGGCTGAGTACCCTGGCATGTTGACTGTCCAAAAGCATAGAAGTGGGGCTGTGAGACAGGTGTGAGGGTGATCATCACACCTCAAAAAGAGATGAACCCAAGCTTCATTATGCCATTTGCTAAAGCAATGAGCTGAATTTAGCACCGGCACCATCTGAACTTCTGCCAGGGAAAATCATCTAATCAGGGAGATTGAGTAGAGTGGTGTTTGCCTGCTTAGGGTGATGCTGAACTTAATCAAAAAGCATTTATTAAGTACTTAATTGCACTCAGTGCAGTGCTGGATGCCCACAAAGAGCACCGTGTGCACCTGGCCCCTCCTCCCCAGCAGTATAGAATATGGAGAAGTACAGAGAGACTGGGGGTAGGGGCAGGAAGGAAGCCAGAATTTCATGAGTTCCTCAAGTGTTAGCAATCGTATACAAAGAAAGAGATTTCTTTTTCAGTGTCGGAGATTGAAGTTACACTACCTCAAGCTCATGAGGCAAGTGTCTGCCACTAATTTTCATCTTCAGTGTTGGATCACAAATTCTAGTTGAGTTTGGTGATTCCAAGGCTCTTCACTCAACAGTGGCTTGCCCTGGAGGAAGGGAAGATTGACAAGATTCCTCAAAACTGTAAGACATGGCTAACAAGATGGCTAGGCCAGTAAAAGCACTTGCCATACAAGCTGATGGCCTGAGTTTGGTCACTGAAACCCATGATGGAAGAAGAAAAAGCATGTAATTTGTTCTCTGACCTCCACATATCATGCATACACCCATGCTTTCACACACCCAAGAGTGCACTCACCCAACAATAATAACAAATACAAATAATAATGAATTGTATGATAAGCTGGCACAGCAGCTCATGCCTATAATCCCAGTGCTTGGGCAATAGAAACAGAAACATCCAAAGGTCAAAGTCATCCTCTTAACTGCAAAGCAAATTCAAGGCCAAGCTGGGCTTCATGAGACTCCATTTGAAAAAGAAAAAAAAAATAGAGAGAACAAAGCAAAGAAAGAGAAAGATGTCATGCAGTGAGGGTGCATGCCTTTAATCCCAGCACTCAGGAGGCAGAAGCAGGTAGGTCTCTGAGTTTGAGGCCAGCCTGCTCTCTACAGAATGAATTCTAGGTCAGCCAGAGCTACACAGAGAAACCATGCTTTGAAACTCTCTCCAGAAAAAGAAAGAAAGAAAAGAAAAAAGAGAAAGATGGTAATAAAAAAGAAAGCAGAAGGAAATAGAGAATGGTAGCATCATGCCATAGGTGTTTGCCCAGTCCCCCCACCCCCCACCGAGCCTTTCCAATTTGCTCTTTCACACTCAAAAATGTTCTTGACCGGCACTAGTACCCTGTTCTGTTCCTTATTCTCTCTTTTATCCTTCTCATAGCTTTTTCTAAGCTGTCCTTCTGCCTCCCATGTATCCCAGTAGTATCTAACATCCCTCCCATGTATCCCAGTAGTATCTAACCTTTGCCATCATTTCTATTTGAGCCCAACCATTGCTGACTGTAAACTCACTTCTGGGCTGTGTGGTACAAGATGCACCAGTCCGTCACAAGAACAAGACATAGCCATGACACTCTTAGTGAGTGCAGGAAGTAATTATCCTGGGATCCAGGCCAAAACAAACAAACAAACAAACAAAAACACATTGAAAGCTAGCATCTAAACTGGAGGTAGTGGCCCAGGTCTGTGATCTTAGCACTTGGGAGATGGAAGCAGGAGTATCAGGAGGTCAAAATCATCTCTGGCTATACAATGACTTGGAAGACAGCCTGGGCTGCACAAAACTCTGCCTCCAAAAAATAAAAGGAAGAAAAAAGTCCGACAGATAAATTAGATCTCTGAATTTAAGTTTTCTTATTTTTAAGATGCATTTAAGATTTAATCTTATTTGTTATTATTTTGTGGGCAAGAGTACTCATGTCATGGTTATATATGGAAGTCCGAGGATAACATGGTGGTGTAGGTTCTCTCCTGCTGAATTTACATGGATTTGGGGGATTGAACTCAAGTCATTAGCAAAGCCTGCATCTTTACCTGCTAAGCCCCATGCTATCTATGCTCTAACGTTCCTTGTTCTTACTCAGTAAAGAATAAAAGTCAGAGCTGGGCAGTGGTGATGCATGCTTTAGTCCCTGCACTAGAGAGGCAGAAGCAGGTGGATCTCTGTGAGTTTGAAGCCAGCCTGCTCTACAGAGCGAATCCAGGACACCAAGGGTACACAGAGAAACCCTGTCTTGAAAACAAGACAAAACAAAAGAATAAAAATAAAAGAGCTAGAGAGAAAAACAGAGAGAAGAGTTTCTTCAGGAATGGAGGGATTGGTAAGTGACACATGCTACTCTATGTATGTAATCCTAAACTCATTGTATCACACAAACTCACCACACACACACACACACACACACACACACACACACACACACATCACAGAAATGGGACTATTTGGGGAAAGGAAGGGAATCAGTGGCAGGGGACAAGAGGGCATGGGTGCTGAATTTGACAGAGTATGTTACACACATATATGTGAAAATGTCATAATGAAACCTATTATTACATATAATTAACAGACGCCAGTTAAAGCTTTTTCTTTTTTCAAAGAATAAAAGCCAATTAAAACTGCACAGTACAAATGCTTTGAGTTTTTCAGGGTTGTTCCTTTGCAGAGCCTGCAGAGAGACTCCAGAGGAAGCAACATGTCTCAGCTAACTGTTCCAGGACATGTGAACAGGCATTCTTTCCAAAGGACAAGTCTAGTCATTGTCCTTGAGGTTCAGTCTGCTCAGTGTCAATGGCACCTTTGCCCTCCAAGTCCTTTTCACCCAGTCCTTGAGGACTCTTCCCCACATTTCTGTTTATTTCTTCATGAGATAGTCTCATGTAACCCAGACTTCCCTCCAACTCATTATAAAGCAAAGCCTGGCCTTGAACTCATGATCCTCCTGCTTCCATTAAGTCCTAGGACTAAAGATGTGTCCACCACACCCAGGTACCCCCCCCTTTGATTTGTTATATAATTAAAACTCAGGCGGCATGGTTGGCTCAGCACTTAAATGCACTAACCCAGATGACCTGGGTTTGATTCCCAGCACCCATATGACAGCTCACAACTGTCTTCAACTCCAGTGACAGATGATCCAATGCCATCTTCTGGCCTCCTTGGGCAACAGGCATGCTCATGGCGCACAGATACACATTCAAGTAAAGCACTCATACACATAAAACAAAAACAATTTAAAAAGAAATACTTCGTATATAAAACAAAACAACTCATCAGCTGTGATGGCACACACTAGTAATGACAGGTTTCAGTGGGCAAAGGCTGGAGGGACAGGAATTCAAGGCCAGTTTCAGCGTACATTAAGTTCTAGGTCACCATGAGTAACATGAGACTTGGTTCTAATAAAAAATTGAGGGCTGGCAAATGGCCCTTACTACCAAGCCTGGGACACACAGAAGGAAGAAAAGAAATGATTCAATCTTGGGCCAAGTGTCGTGGCACATGTCTTTGATTAGAGCACTCGGGAGACAGAGACAGGAGAAACTCTGAGAGTTCAAAGCCAGCCTGATTCACACAGTAAGTTCCAGGACAGCCAGGACTATTTAAAGAGACCTTATCTCAAAAAGACAGGGGGTAGGGGTAGCACAGAAACAAAACCCCTAAAATATCTAACTGCCTCGCTTCTCTGTGGAGACATCTGTAAACCGTGTAATAGTAACTGGAATCCTTCTTCTAGTCCTGTCCTTTTACAGGTGCAGTTACAATTTCACTGTGTCTTTTTCCAAACGTAGAGCTATTGCTGCAAACCAAAGCTGCGCAACGGAAATCAGTTAATGTTTTAAAGAGAAGTTGCTGACGAAAATGTTCAAACGGTTGCACTAGAAATTGGTAAACAGATCAAGCGTCGGTTTAGGGACCCCCTACCCCCACCCCCTGAAGCGCCTGGGCGAGATTGCCTACTTAACTGGCTGGAACCTGGCAGGGAAGGTCACTCCCGGAGCAACTAGCCAGTGGATCGGCTGATCTAGATAGAAGGGCGTGGCCTTGGGCAAGCGGGGCGGGGCGGGAGCAGAAGTGGGTGTGCCCGGGGCGGGGCGGGAGCAGAAGTGGGTGTGTCCGTGGCGGGGGGGGGGGGGCGCGCAGGTCCGAGAAGGTGCAACTGTCCCGGGCCCTCGGCGCCCGGGCGCTGGTGGAGCGGTCAGGCTGGCGGGGCATCGGGCCGCGACGGCGGGTCATGGCGGCGGGCGGCAGGCTGGAGGACGTGAGTGAGGCGCCGAGCCGTGTCTCCACCATCCGCGCTTCCTGTGCTGGGCTCAGGGGGCGGAGACTGCGGGCTGGGAGCTACCCAGAGCCGCCGCGGCCTGGTCCAGAGTGGACGCTGGGTGCGGAGGGACCTCCGGGCGGGGACCGCGGGCCCGTGTGCCCTTCCGGATGGAAGTCGGAGGGACGCGGCTGGGTGGGCGCGAGGGTCCCTTCCTTCAGTGGGCGGCTCACGTGCCGTGCGCGTCTTGGGTTCCGGAACTGGGAGCTTCACGTGATACGTGCTGGCCTGAGGGAGAGTGACAGGCCAGGCACGGCTTGCGAGCCCCGGTGACCCTGATTCCTGTGGACTCAATTGCGGTAGCTGGAGAGAGGACCACCTAGAGTGACTGGTGCGGAGGCTGAACTCCAGCATCCCTCCGGAAGACCTGTAGCTTTCATCTCCCGGAAACCCAGATTGGTTAAAAACACTATCATGTGCTGTTTTGAATGTAGGCATGGTAGGAACAGAATGATGTTTTAACTTTAGATAGATGTAAATTTACTTTTTTAAAAAGTACCCGGTGCTGAGATAATGGGAGTACCCTACTACACCTAGCTAGTTAAATTTTCTTGTTGAAATAAATGTTTCTAGCAATAAGATAAAATAAATAAATCTACTTTTATTTTTCAGTTCTCAATATTTTCCAATATTGAGAAAATGGAAAACTGAATTGGAAATTAATAGTCATATATGCTTAAAGCAAAGCCCATTGTTTTTAAATTTAAGAATGAGATTTCATGAGCTGGCAATTATGGAAGAAAGAAATATCTAAGGGGAAAATGAATGGCTTAGAAAAACATAAGCAGTGTTCTTGGCTGGTACTGAGCTGTCCTGCAGTTCTTCTTGGATAAGTGAGTTTCAGGAATACAGTCCTAGATAGTTCTTTCAGTGGGGATTGTTTTTGCCAATGGTTAAGTAGCTGAGTGGGTTGCCTGCTTTTGGTATTTTGTAGGTAGCAAAGTGCCCATTTAGTAAACTAAATACATGCACTGTGTTGCAAGCCCAGTCACGAAAGTGAGTCAGTGAACTTATTTATAAAGACAAGGACTTGGTGCAGATTGGGTGAATTAATACCCAGGCCTCTGCAAGGACTGCAACAAGGGCAGCTCAGAGTGTCTTAAGTGATAGGAGTCATTTTAGAGTCTACACTGGGATGACCACACAGCTGTCACCTTACCTAGTGTCTATCTTTCCTTTGTACTTCCCGTAGACAGTAGATTGGACAAACCATCTTTTATTCAGACCAAGTGAGAGAAAGGGAAAATATGTAAATATTCCAAAGTGTTTTTTCTTTTGTTGTTGTTTTTGTTTTGTTTTGTTTTTACAGGCCCACACTACATACCTCAGACTCACAATAGTCCTGCTGAAATCTCTCATATGCTGGGATTACAAACAAGCATGTGCCCCTATATCTAGGTCCCAGTAAGGCTTAATGCAACATAGATATTGGGTCCCCCAACAAAGCAGTTACTGAAGAAAAAGAAAAAAAAAGTAAAGAGATAGTATTTGAACCAAAGCAGTAGGTGCACTCTTTGGTAGTAATTCACTCACTTATAAGAAGTGGGAATGGGTTGTGCCTACTTGGTAGAGTTCTTATTTGCCTAGCATGCACACAGCCCTGAACTCCACATAAGCCACATAAGCCAGGCATGGCAGCACACATCTGTAAACCAAGCATTGAGGAGGTAAGGGCAGGAGAATTGTAACTTCAAGGTCACCCTGGACCTTGTGGGGCTGTAGGGAGTTCATGGAGGGAATGCAGGAATAATTGAGGGTTTTGAGGATGTAGCTTGATGTTAGAGCATTCACTTCACATGCATGAGGTTCTAGGTTTGGAAAACAATAAAAACGTCAGGCTTGTAAGAAGACAGAAAAAAGACAGGACTAATAATGAGTAGGTTGAAACTGATTCAGAAACAGCTAGACATAGCAAAGAGAAAATAAAGCTTTTCTACATGTTCAAAAGCTTGAAGTTGACCAAACTGAACCTGTGAGATGGTGAGCTGGGAACTAGTCAAAGATAAGGTGCTGGTTAGTTGTGTTAGGCACTGTGAGTGGGGAAGTGTCACGAATAAGGTTTTTCCTGCCGACCTGGCTCCACCGCGGCACCAGCCCCAAATAACACACAGAGACTCTGTATTTGATACAATGCTGTTGGCCAGTTATTTGTTTCTTATCGGCTAGCTCTGTCTTAAGTATTAACCCATTTCTATTAATCTAAGTACTTCCACATGGTCTTATTTTACCGGAGAGAGAGCCCACCGGCCTTCTACTCTCTCGGTCTTCCATCTTGACACCTCCCTACTACTTCCTCGAATCCTCCTTGTCTCCTACTCCCGCCTATCTTGCTTTCCTATTGGCCAACAGTCCTTTGTTCATTAACCAGTATGAGAAACATATTTACAGAATGACATCTCCCATCATCTCCTCTTTTCTGTCTAAAATAAAAAGAAGGGTTTTAACCTTAACACAGCAAAATATATAACATAATACTTATCAAGTAAGAATCACAGTTAACAATATTTAGTCCATTAACATTTAGCAAGATTTGAAAAGAATATTCCATCTTCTTTCCTATCTTTGTGAGTCTAAAGTCCTGTATGTAACTTATCTTTAATCCTAACTAAGGAAAACTATAACTATTTGTCTTCAACTCCATCAAAGAACATAGAAGGATAATATATAAACTCTAGAAGTGACAGAGACAACTCACTGCCTGGTCAGTCACCCAAAGTTCTTCTGTAATCTTCCATCTTTAGCCCATAGGCCATAGTGTGTCTGGCAGACTCTTCAGCAAAGCAGGAAACTTTAAACTGTCTTCTTGTATTGGCAGTTTGTCAGTCACTTTTCTCTGTGTCCTGCAGACTGTCTCACAGACTCTTCCATGAAGCAGGAACTCTGTAGCAATGTCCATCTTGAATCAGCAGTCACTTTTCTGTGGGTCCTGCATGTCCAGTTTATACAGCATAAAGTCAAACAGTTCAGACAAGAGCAGTATCTTGTCCAAATGGCTAGTCTTGCCATATTGGAGGCAAACTCCATAATGTGTTTCTTTAATGTCCATCCTTCTTTCTGACACAGGTGGTGTTGCCAGGAGCATTTATATCTCACTGTCAAGAAAAACCCTAAACCATTTTAAATGCCATATTCTGTAGGTCTTTGAAAGGCTTGAAGAATGCCTATTCATCTCAAATATATATCTGTGTATCTTGAAAACCTAACTAACTTAACTCTAAGTTTTGACTATCATAGGTAATTATTTATTATCTGTACCCCATTATACATTACATTTCTAAATGAGCTATATAAACACAATACCTAAACAAGAGGAGAAAGATACATATCACAAAATTGTATCAATAAATGAAAATCCATTCCAAAACAAAGTATTCATATCTATATCATAATCCCCTTTTTACCTTTAAATTGATTGGTTGTGGGCATTAACCACTTATAACCAACCTCATTTACATGAAAACAAACATTTATAAACAATATTTGGGAATTTGGGAATCTTTCTTTCCAAACTACTTCCTGCTGGTAAAGGACGCTGTCATTGGGGATCCTAAGAAGATGCAGAAATCCTGGCTGCAGTCTGCAAAGCTGCTTTGTTCAAGCTGTTTTGAATATTGGATCACCAGGAAGTCTGTTTCAGGTGGTCTGGCTTGATCAAACCTCATTAGTCTGGAAGGAATCCATAGTTTTTCATTTTCTGTGGAAACAAAAATAGAAATCCTTTTCCCCAATAACTTGTCCTTAGACTTAAATTTTGAAGTCAAAGCATTTTTAAAATATATAAATTGAATTAATCCAGCAGCATTTCTTTTAACAGTTGTTTCCTCAGTAGTCAAACAATACAAAGACAATATAATGTCATACAGTATGCAGATTTTCTCTGTCTTTATGTGGCTTTTTTATTACTCTGTTTCTTTTACTTTTATTTTTTTATTTGAGACAGGTTTCTCTGTCTAACTTTTATTTGTCCTGGAATTCATTTCGCATACCAGGTTTACTTTGCAATCTGCTTGCCTCTGTCTTTCGAGTGCTGGGATTAAAGGCATGTGCCACCACACCCAACTCCTCGCTGAATTTTTAAAACCATTTTATTCCTTTTCTCTCCCAAGCTTACATATATCTTAGAACACACTGTAAACCTTTAGCACTTTTTCTTAATGTGAATCTGTATTTACTGTAAATCTTTATCTTTTTCTGGCCATGAGTCTTTTATCTGGTAAACAACAACACTGCTAAAATGAAAGTCATAGCTGTGTTAGCCACGGTCTTATCCAAGATGGCGGCGGCTATTTTACCACCAGAACTGAGAGCTGTGCTCACTGTCTTGGTCTACGCTGCCATCCAGCAGTATGTTGCCGACTGGGAGATGTGGTCATTTCCATTGCCAGCTCTTGTACACACCAATAAATTGTTAGCAGTGCTTTTTTTTTTTTTTTTAAAGCCGTGCGGTTTTTTGCCGCTTATGCTGAGTCAAGCAAATCTCTGCTTGAATCTAGCAAAACAGAGTCCAACCAAGAAAAATGCTACTACCAAGAAGCCTTGCTTTTTTCTGTTTTTTGGTTTTTAAAACCCTTTTAAGTTTCTGTTAAGTTTCAAATGGAAGTTCTTATTAGCCACGTTGCAGCGCAACATGCAAGGAGTAGGTTTTCCCTGCTGGCCTGGACCCACCGCAGCATCATCCCCAATTAACACACAGAGACTCTGTATTTGATTTAATGCTGTTGGCCAGTTACTTGTTTCTTATTGGCTAGTTCTGTCTTAAGTATTAACCCATTTCTATTAACCCATTTCTATTAATCTAAGTACTTCCACATGGTCTTACTGGAGAGAGAGCCCGCTGGCTTTCTACTCTCTCTGTCTTCCATCTTGACACCTCCCTACTACTTCCTCGAATCCTCCTTGTCTCCTACTCCCGCCTATCTTGCTTTCCTATTGGCCAACAGTCCTTTATTCATTAACCAGTATGAGAAACATTTACAGAATGACATCTCCCATCAGGGAAGAACCAGTAGGAAAGCCGCTGAGAAGGGGGGGGGATGGGGGGGTTTCCTGACAGCTCAGAGCATGAGGGAGAGGAATAGTAATGGTAAGCTGGAAAAGTAGAGCAGTGGTCTTCCGTAGCACATCTCGCCTGATGAAGAGTTGGAGCTCTGTCCTGAGGGGAATGGGAGGTGCAGGTTTGGTGAGGATAAATATAGGCTCTTGACATCAGTGAGGAAAATTCCTCAGGCCAGGATACCGAAAGGTTCTAGCCGAAGACTAAGAGAAATGCTGAGAGCCTGAGTTAAGACACAGTAGGATGGATGGTAGATATGCTACACAGGCATTCATATGAAGAACAGCATTACTAGAGGTCTGGGCTGTATCTCAAAGACAGCACTGATTTAACGTGGAAGGCTTAGTTCCTTTCCCAATGCCACAAATTAACTAATTAAGTAATCCCAGACACCAGGAGATGAAGTTGAGGAGATCTTCGGCTCAAGACTAACCCTCGATACATTTTGAGATCCTTTTTCCAAAAGAGAAAAAAAGGTTGGTAGAGGTCAGATGTAGTAGTGCCGGTCTTTAATTGCAGTACTTGGGAGGCAGACAGAGGTGGGTCCCTGTGAGTTCAGAGCAATTCTTCTCTACAGAGTGAGTCTCAGACAAATTTTTGTTTTTAAATATATAATAGTGGTTCACGCTGGGTGGTGGTAGTGGCACACATCTTTAATCTTAGCATTCAGGTAGCAGAGGCAGGCAGATCCCTGAGTTGGAGGCCAGCTTGGTCTACAGAGTGCTGGGACAGCCAGGGCTTCTAAGAGAAACCCTGTTTAAAAAACAAAACAAAAAAAAAAACAACAACAAATAAAAACAAAAAACAAAACTAAAACAAAATAAAATAAGGGCTCACACATTGATTGCTCAGTCAGTACCAGCCTTAGTGCTGTACTAAGTAGTTCTTATGTAGTAATTCATTTATTCTTCCTACCCAAGAATGGGCACAGGTACTATTAGTAGTGTCTTTTTTAAGAGGAAGAAACTGAGGCTAGAGAGGTTGCTTGTTGGTTAAAAGTGCATATAGTTTTGCAGAGGACGCAGGTTCAATTCTCAACACCCACATCTCCTACCTGGCAACTTTCTCTAACTCCAGCTTCAGGGGGGTCACACACCTTCTTCTGGCCTCATTGAGCACCTACATGCATGTTGTACGCATACACATATAACACAGAAAATAAAAAAATAAGGCTTAAAAAAGAAACAAATAAAGGTAAGGAAACAGGAATAGAGATATCAAGTAACTTACTCATAGCCAGTAAGCATCAGAACTTGAATTTTCTCAGTTTAACTTAGGGACCCTCCCAGAGCCACAGCACTCCTGCCTCCCTGTGTCATTATTGTTCTCCTGATGAGTGATTGATGCCCTTGAGTGAGTTGTAGAAACCTGTAAAAACATATATGGAACATATATTGATTCATGCACCAGTGTTTGCCTAGTGTGTTCCCAAAACAGATAAGTAAGAGATGGGGAACTGGTAAATCCAATGTAGTCTACCAGGAAAGGTGGATAAATAAGAAGGCATTGGAAAAATAAACATGATCCAGAACCAGCTGTGTTGGCGTATACCTCTAATGCCAGCACTCAGGCCAATCCTTGTGAGTTCAATGACAGCCTGGTCTACAGAGTGAGTTCCAGGACAGCCAGGGCTACACAGAGAAACCCTGTCTTGAAAAAACAAAAGAAAGAAAGAAAGAAAGAAGGAGAGAAAAATGATAGAAAGAAATAGAAACATAACCCAGAAAGCTTTGGCTAAAATTGTGTGTTTCTGCCTCACAGGGTTCCTTGGATATTCTTCAAAGTATGGATGATGACCCACTCCTGGATACCCAGCCTCTCCCACACCACTCCTTACATGCTTACTTTAGACCCAGATTCCATCCTCTTCCCACGGTCATCATAGCAAATCTTCTGTTGCTTATACATGTGAGTTCACTGCAGAGCTGGTGGTCCTAAAAGCACAGTGTGGAGGTGTGGAGATGGCCCAGTCATCTTCAGGACCTGGGTTCCACCTCCAACACCCATGTGAAAACCTGACTGTGAAGGACCTCACTCCCAACAGTGGGAAGGTGGAGATAGGAGGATCCCTGGTACTCTCTGGCCAGCCCCAGACCCTCTTGAGAGACTGCACCTCCAAGGCAAAACAACGAAGTAGATGTCTCTGAAAGACCAGCACCTGCATTGTCCTCTGAACACAGTGTATAAGCTCTTTAGGGGGCATTTAGGCTGTGTCTATCAGTTTTGTATATATTTTTGTACAAGTTTTTGTGCTCATACTTCCAAGAATTTATTGTAGAGATGTTTGAGCATGTGTAAGGACATTCCTTGTGCTGGTGTGATTTTCATACTAAGAAATCACGAAGTACCTGGTATACTGAGGACTGCTGTTTCTCCTCCTGTATTCTAGATTACCTGTTTCATGAATTGAAACACTGCCTCCAAACAGTGTAGAAGGAGAGAATCCACTCTGGAAAAATTGTTCTCTGGTGTCCACATCCATGCTTTAGCAAAGCACACACACACAAAGTATAGTAACTACATAAGTAAAGCCAGGTTTGGTGTCATACACCTGTAATTCCAGCACTTGGAAGGCAGAGGCAGGCAACCTCTTGTGAGTTCAAGGCCAGCCTAAGCCATCAATCAAGTTCAGGCCAGTAAGGGCTGTATAGTGAGACCCTGTCTCAGAAAAACAAACATGCCTATAATATCAATAATTAACAGGCAAAGGCAGGAAGATCAAAGTTAGAAGTCACTCTGGGCTGCATAATAAGTCCTTTGCCTTTTGTTAAATGCACATGCTAATTCATTTATATATGCAGATCCATGTTCATTTTAATTAATACATTATATATTTAATTTTAATACTCTATCCCTCGTTTTCTAAGTTCCCCATTCATCAAACCTCACTAGAAGGTGGACTGTGGTCCAAGAGACCAGCTCCAGGGGATTCATGTGGTTGAGAGTGTACACTTCTAGCAAGCTCTGAGTTCTGCTGACTGATGTCTCATGTCACCTCTGAGAACCACTGCTCTACAGCTTCCTTCTTTCACTGTGTTATGGGCCTCTGCCCAAATCAGTTGAGGCAATCTTATGGGCCAGTGGGTGAGAATGTCTTCAAGTATTTGGGCATAAGTGCGGGATGCTATTTTTCCTTTTGGGATGCTATTTTTCCTTTTGTTAAAGTCAGGGTCTCAGTTGTAGAACTCAGAGATCTATGTACTTCTGCACATAATTTTATTAGTTCTTAAACATCTTTATTTTTAATTGTGGGGGGAGGGATAATGCAGATGTCCTTAGAGGCCTAAAAAGAGTATCTGAATGCCTGGGACTTGACATGGGTTCTGGGACTGAACTCAGGTCCTCTGCCAGAACAGTTTGCACTCTTAGCTGCTGAGCCATCTCTCCAGTCCTTATTAATTGCTTTTGAGATAATCAACTCTTTTATACCTTTTTTTAATAAAAGAAAAAGGCATAAAACTTCAACATTAAGTGGTCATCTCCTTAAGTGAGATTTAGCGTGATCTTATTTTCTTATTTGTGATTTTGTCTGTGTTCTAGATTGCTTGCATTTTTCTTTTTTCAAATTGACATTCAATATAGCCCAGACTGAACTCGGATTTCCCATCCTCCTGAATGTTAGCATGACAGGTGTATGACTCCGTGCCCAGCTTCCACGGTTTTTCAGAATGCTTTTGGCAAGAAGTTTTAAAATCATTTGTAAGAGTAGGGTAGCATAAGTCATAGAGTCTTTTAGGAAATGGTAGTTTCTGTTTCCTAAAACCATGTTTATGTTAATTTTGTTATTACATTGATGTGTGAGTACACGATCACACCTGGTGTGCATGCAGGTATGTGTGTCACAGAACACACAGAAGTCAGTTCTCTCCTTCCACCATGTAGATCCTGGGAGACACACTCAGGTTGTCAGGCTTGGTGACAAGTGCCTTTACCCACCCAGCCACCTCACTGGCCCTGACAGCAACCTATGCTTTTCTTTCTGCAGGTTGTGTATGTTATTTTAGCATTTTTAACAGGTGTGCTGTGTTTGTACCCTAATCCAAATGAAGACAAGTGCCCAGAAAAGTACACCAACCCACTGAAAGTTCAGACAGTCATAATCCTGGGAAAAGTTATCCTGTGGATTCTGCATTTGCTTCTTGAACGATACATTCAGTATCAGCACAGCAAAGTCAGAAGCCGCGGCTATTCCAAAATCTACCAGTCCACGAGACATCTCAAAACCCTCGCCCTCATGGTCCACTCTTCTGGTAAGTCCTGCAGCTCCTATCTGCTCTTCAGCTTGAGTGCCAAAGGTGATAAAAGAAAGACATGTGAAATTAGATTCTACAATCAAATATGTTCTTCCTCTTTTTTTAAACTTACATAACTTACTTATTTTATATGCATTGGTGTGAAGGTGTCAGATCCCCTGTGTTGTTCTTTTGCTGCAGCTAATGCCTAAGAAACACAAACACGAGACTCAGCACCCACATGGAGTTTATTGAGAGAAGGGAGAGAAAGAGGTGGTAGCTGGTGGCCAACCCAAAGCAGGAGCGGGGGTGGGGGGGTGGGGGGGACAGAGAGAGAGCAAGAGGGGGCAAGAGGGGGCAAGAGAGAAACCAGAGAGAGAGGCACACTTGCTTTAAAAGGGGGCTTGTGCATGTGCAACTGAGTCCTCTGGCAGCCAGGTAAAGCTTGAGCTGCCAGGTAAGGCTGAGTAGTGATGACACGGCCATGAGCATCCTGCCCATCGTCGGGGGTGGGGGTCAGCTGGCTGCTAGTTCCTAACACCCTGGAATTGGAGTTACAGACAGTTGTAAGCTGCTGTGTAGATGCTGGGAATTGAACTTGGATCCTCTGGAAGAGCAGCCAGTGCTCTTAACTGTTGAGCCATCTCTCCACCCACCAAATATATTCTCTTTTTGAGAGTGATACACACACACACACACACACACACACACACACACACACACACACACACACACGCATGCACGCACGCCCGCCCCTATCCTGAATTTTTCTTTTGGTGGGAAGAGGGATTGAACCCAAAGCTTTATATATACTAGGTAAGACTACTAATGAGCTATGTCCCACCCACCTCTTTTCTCACACAATCTGTTGTTTTGAGATAGCATCTCACTGTGTCTTGAAGGCTGGCTCTCCTAGAACTCTGTTTTCAATCATGTTAGCCTCCAGCTAATGACAGTTCTTCCTTCACTGCTTCTCAAGTAAGTGCTAGGATTGTAAGTTTTGTGTCACCATGCTGGGCATTTCTGCCTTAATCTTTATTTGAAATTTCTATTTGTTGTGGGTGTGATGTCATTGTATCCCTTTTCACATGTAGAATTTTCTACCTTTTTGGTATCAGCCAGCTGTTTTGCTCAAGGAGGAAGGATGCTACTGCTATTTGATATTTCTGAGAATTAGAAAAGGTGGTGAAGGCAGGAGGGCCTGGAGTTCAAGGCCAGTCTGGTGTTTATAGCAAGTTTGAAGCCAGCATGGGCTACACGAGAACTTCTTTAAAAAAAAAAAAAAAATGAAATTTTCTTCTATATTCTCTTAGCATATTACCCTGAGCAATGGTTCTCGACCTTTCTAATGCTAGGACCCTTTAATACAGTTCCTCATGGTGTGGTGACCCTCAATCATTAAATTTTGTTTTACTTCCTAACTGTAATTTTGCTACTGTTGTGAATCACAATGTAAATGTTTTTTGGAGGTAGAGGTATGCTAGAGGGGTTGCTATTCTGTAGCAAAGAATAACTCACATGCTTATCCACTAGCTAGAGGTCTTAGTGGAGACTCGATTCATACACTTCAACAGAGAGGGCATACTGTCAGATGGGTCACCTTGACTGAGCCTGGGTGATTGCATGGAGGTGATTATTCCTGGACTGTCCTGGGGGTGACTGTGAGTTCTAATTGATGTGTAGCCACATGCGGCCAGAAGATGTCACTGTAACACCAAAATAAATCAGAATATTTACTTCACATGTAAGTATGGGATAAGAGTATACTGTCAAATAATGACCTAGAAATAATCTGGAAATAATAGTTTGGAAATGCATGAAGAAAGTATTTGATATTTAAAGTATTTAGTCTTTACCTTTTCTCTTTCTCTCTTTTTTTTTTTTTTTTCTTTTGGTTTTTCAAGACAGGGTTTTTCTCTGTAGCTTTGGAGCCAGTTGCTTTATAGACCAGGCTGACCTTGAACTCACAGAGATTCTCCTGCCTCTGCCTCCTGAGTTCTGGGATCAAAGGTGTGTGCCACCACCGCCTGGCCTGGTCTTTACCTTCTTAAATTCTGATTTTAAGCTGGACCCTCAGGAGTCTGAGGCAGGAGAATGACTAGTGAATTCAAGGTCAGCCTATGCTGTGTTGAGACCCTATCTCAATAAATAGTATTTTCTCACATGTTCAGAAGAACCAAAAAAGTCAGTTTAATACTTGTATAAAGCCAAGAAATCATTTTTTAGTTTTAGAACAAGGTCAGATTATAGCAAAACTTCTGTCTGGCCAGCCAGCTCCCAATCATGACACAGAGGCTTGTTTCCAAGTAGCTCTTATAACTTAACACACGTCTTTTAATCCATGTTCTTTTACATGGCTTGGTTACCTGTACTTTCATTTCCATGCTGCTTGCTCAGCATCCCTGGTGTCACTGCCCTTCTTTCCATCATCCTCTATACTTGCAAATCCTGAATTTGCCATTCAACTTTTTATTAAACCAATCAGTGTGCAAAAGGATGATTATATAACATCAAATTCTATAGGGTATTTTGGTGTTGTTTGGTATTTTCTGTCTTTGTTTTTGGTGCTAGGAGCCAAGTCCAAGGCTTCAAACTTCCCTGACAAACATCCTGCCACTGAACTAAATCTTTAACTCCTTGATTTTTGGAGATGGTCTCAGACTTGCTATGTAAGCTTCATGCTCTTGCCTCTATCTTTGAATTACATGGTTACAGGCCTGATCCTTGATTTTAGGATTGAACCCAGGTGGTCCTCTATGCTGGGGAAGAATTCTACAGACCAAGCTTTATGGCCATCACTCCAGATTGTTTTTTAAAGAACTTAGATTTTCAATTTCTCTAGCTTCCCCAAATGGAGCTAGTGGGTTAGAGGTTCCCCTCTGTCTTTCTGGTGACTGGACCCATGCTTAGGCTATGTGGAGCCCACCTTTAATAGCATAAACACTGTATTGACCTTAAGAGTCTGGTATATATAACAGCACAGTTCTTTCATTTAGGAAATCACAAAGGCTTAAGGACAGACGGATGGATGGATGGATGGATGGATGGATGGATGGATGGATGGATGGATCACAAAGGCTTAAGGACGGATAGATAGATGGATGGATGGATGGATGATATAGATAGATGATAAATAATAGATGATAAGAGATTGATAGATGACAGATAGATGATGAGTAGATAGAGATAGGTAGATAGATGATAGATGAATAGATAGATAGATAGATAGATAGATAGATAGATAGATAGATAGATCCGTCAATCACATTCTGAACTTTGTGCTGACTGAAGGCCAGCATCCCATCCCTGTCTTTTTCCCTTCCTTCCTCAGGCAACACAGTGCTCCTCCTCCTCCTCTGTGTCCAGCATTCTTTCCCTGAGCCCAGTAAGCTGTACCTGGAGTTGATTCTGGCCATCCTGGCCTTGGAGCTGATCTGCTCCCTGAGCTGTTTGCTGCTCTATGCAGGTGAGAGTGGAAACTGCTGCCCCGTGACCTCTCCTGCCTCTCTCCTGCTCGCCTGTTACTTTAGGGGAGAGCCACCCCATAGTTGAGGACTCCTTTAGCACCCCTTTCACTTCTGACCACTTCCATGCTTCTCTCCTTTCAGACTCACAGAAGAGAACCACTACCAGTGAGTTGATTCTGTACTTTCGTATCATTCCTGGATTTGGGGAACCTTTGAGTTGGAGAGGTGGCTCAGCAGTTAAGAGTACTTGCTGCTCTTAATCATGTCAGGCTGCTCACAGCTCCACTCTAGCAGGCTTCCCTAAAACGCAGGCACATACCTTCACACACACACTTTAAAAGTCTTTAAATAGGAAAGCATTTTCAGTCAGCTAAAGTAAAGCATTCGTAGAAAACAAAACACTAAACTTGTTTCCTGTAAGGCAGTGGTTCTCAACCTTCCCAGTGCTGTGATGCTTTAATACAGTTCCTCATGGTGTGGTGACCCCCAACCATAAAACTATTTTCCTTGCTATTTTATAACTGTAATTTTGCTGCTATTATGAATTATAAATATCTGATATATAGGATATCTGATATTTGACCCCTATGAAAGGGGCATTCAACCTCCCATGGGGTCATGACCCACAGTTTGAGAACTACTGCTATAAAGAAACCAGAATGACCCTGAATTTATAGCCAACTCCCTGCCTCTGCCTTCCAAGCTCTGAGATTATAGCCAAGTCAGCAAGCCTGGCTCTGCATGTAAATTTGGCATCTAAATTAAAAACAAAGGTCAAGCCTAAAGGCACACACATTTAATCCCAGTAGGTGGAGGGCAGACCTACATGGGGTCTCTTGAGTTTCAGGCCAGCCTGATCTACATAGTGAGACCATGTTTAAATAAAAAATGAGTACTTGTTTCATGGCATGGTCATGAGAATGAAAGGAGGTCATCCATCTGGGACAGTCAAGATATGCTGTGTAAATGTGTGTTGTAAATGTCAGCTGTTGTTATTGTTATTTTGTTACTAATAATAATTGTGACATTCCCTGTGTCTAGTTCTTGTTTAGCAGACTTTGATTAACAATTGTATTCAAACTGTTTACTCATTGTGCAATCTCATATATATCTATGCAAAAGAATAACTGATTAGTATAACTTGAATAAGTGAATCTAAAAATTTCTTCAGGAGTAGGTAATCTGATTAAAAAGGATTTTATTATTTCAGTGAGAATTAGGAGATTCAATCGAGCCAAACCACAGCCTGATGTACTTGAAGAAGAAAAAATGTATGCTCACCCCAGCAATATTGCCTCAGAGACTGGCTTCAGGTAAGGCTTGAATAGACAGTGAAAAATCAGAAAGAATGAAATTTTTCCCTTCAGGTACCTTGATAGTACATGCCTGTGAGTCTATCTACTTGGGATACCTCCAGGTAGGCAGAGTGGATCCCAAACCAGGGCAACTTAACAAAATCTTGACCCAAAATAATTGTTTAGTAAATTTTTATAAAGACTGACAGGTAGTCAGAGGACTGATGTATGAGTCTCAGGGTTCATCCCTGGTATATTCCTCCCTCCCCCATCCTCACCTTCCCTCTGCCTCTCTACCTTCTCTCTCTCTCTCTCTCTCTCTCTCTCTCACACACACACACACACACACACACACACACACACACAGAGAGAGAGAGAGAGGCCTAAGAGACTGAGGTGGGAGGACCCCAAATCTGAGGCCAGCAGACAGAATTTTATTTCAGAAAAAATAAGAATTTTCTTCCCATATAACCTTCTTCAGTACTGTAATATGTCCAGTCATAGGGTTTTTGGTTTGTTTTGAAACAGGGTCTCACTATGTAGTCCTTACTGGCCTTGAACTCACAGAGATCAGAGGCATGCTCCACAACTCATACATAGATAATTTATTTTATTATTTTTATTTTATATATCGATCCCAGTTCCCCCCTCTCTCTCTTGCTCCCTCTTTCCCTCTTTCCCTCTCTCCCACCCTCACATGCACCCCAACCAACCTCCCCTCCCAACCCCCCCCCCACTCCACATGAAAGGTGATGCCCTCCAGGAGGGGTCATCTAAATCTGTCAAGTCATTTGGAGTAGGGACTAGGACTTCTCTCCTGTCTCTAGGTTAAGGGAGTATCCCTCCATGGGGAATGTGTCCCCAAAGTCCTTTTGTGCACCAGGAATACATCCTGATTCTACTGTATGAGGTCCCTTAGACTGCTCAGGCCTTCTAGCTGAGTCCTGTGTTCAGGGAATCCGAGTCAGTCCTGTGCTGGATTCCCAGCTATCAGTCTGGGGGGGGTGCATGAGCTCCTCCTTGTTCAGATAAGCTGTCTCTATGGGTTTCTGCAGCCTGGTCTTATCCTCTCTCTCTGCATCTGGATTCCAGTTTGACTCAGTATTTAGTTGTAGGTGTTTGCTTCTGTTTCCATCAGCTACTAGATGAGGGCTCCATGATGGTGCATAAGTTAGTCATTGATTTCATTATCAGGGAAGGGCATTTATGATAGCCTTTCCACTGTTGCACAAATTGTTATTTGGAGGTCAATCTTGTAGGTCTCTGGACATTTCTCTAGGTTCAGTTTTCTTTTCAAACCTATAATGGCTCCCTCTTTTATTCTCTCTGTCTCTCTCTGTCTCTGTCTCTCTATCTGTCTCTTTCTCTCTCTCTCTCGCTCTCTCCTGTCTTCTATTCCTCACCTGACTCAATCTTCCTAGTCCCACGTGCTTTCTTCTCCTACCCTTCTTTCTCCTAGTTCCCTCTCCATTCACTGTCCTCCCCCTCCCCCTCCCCATTGATCTGGAGAACTTGTCCCTTCCCCCTCTGTGAGGGACCTTATATGAATCTCTTAGAATCCTCCTTGTATCCTAGTTACTCTGGCAGTGTGAATTATAGGCTGGTGATGTGAATTATAGGCTGGTGATCTTTTGCTCTATGTCTAAAATCCATATATGAGCAAGTACATATCATGTTCCTCTTTCTGTGACTGGGTTACCTCATTCAGGATGGTTTCTTCAAGTTCCATCAGCTTGCCTATGAATTTGAAGATTCCATTGTTTTTTTTTGTTTGTTTTTGTTTTTGTTTTTTTCTCACAGTAGTATACCATTGTGTAGATGTGCCACATCTTCTTTATCCATTCTTCAGTTGAGGGGCATCTAGGTTGCTTCCAGGTTCTTACTATTACAAATAATGCTGCTATGAATATAGTTGAGCACATGTCTTTGTTGAATGGATGTGGATCATTTGGTTATATGCCTAAGAGGGGGATTGTCCAGTCTTGTGGTAGAGGGATTCCCATTTTCCTGAGGAACCGCCATATTGATCTTCAAAATGGTTATACAAGTTTGCACACCCACCAGCAGTGGAGGAGTGTTCCCCTTTTTCCACATCCTCTCCAGCATAAGTTGTCATTGGTGTTTCTAATTTTAGCCATTCTGGCAGGAGTAAGATGGTATCTCAAAGTTGTTTTGATTTACATTACCCTGATAGCTGAGGATGTTGACTTTCTTAAGTGTCTTTCAGTCTTTTTGATGTCCTCTATTGAGAGTTCTCTATCCAGTTCTGTACCCCATTTTTTAATAGGGTTATTTAGTGTTTTGGTGATTAGTTTCTTGAATTCTTTGTGTATTCTGGAGATCAGCTCTCTGTTTGGTCTTGTTCACTGTATCCTTTGCCTTATAGAAGTTTCTAAGTTTGAGGAGGTCCCATTTATTAATTGTCCATCTCAGTGTCTGTGCTACTAGAGTTATGTTCAGGAAGCAGTCTCCTGTACCAATTTGTTCAAGGGTACCCCCCAATTTCTCTTTTAAGGGGTTCAGTGTGGCTGGATTTATGTTGAGGTCTTTGATCCATTTGGACTTGAGTTTTGTGCATGGCAATAGAAATTGGTCTATCTGCAGTCTTCTACACACCATCATCCAGTTGTGCCAGCACCATTTATTGAAGATATTTTCCTCCCCCCATTGTATACTTTTAGCTATTTTGTCAAAAATCAGGTGTTCATAGGTGTGTGGGTTAATATCAGGATTTTCAATGCAATTCCATTGATCTACTTGTCTGTTTTTGTGCCAATACCAGGCTGTTTTCAGAACTATAGCTCTGTATTGAGCTTGAAGTCAGGGATGGTGATGCCTCCTGAAGTTCCTTTATTGTACAAGGTTGTTTTGGCTATCCTGGGTCTTTTGTTTTTCCATATAAAGTTGAGTATTATCCGTTCAAGGTCAATGAAGAGTTGTGCTGGGATTTTAATGGGTATTGCAATCTGTAGATTGCTTTTGGCAAGATTGCCATTTTTATTATATTTATCCTACCTATCCCAGAGTATGGGAGATCTTTCCATTTTCTGGTATCTTCTTTAATTTCTTTCTTTAAAGACACAAAGTTCTTATTATATATGTCTTTCACTTGTTTGCTAAGCATTATCCCAGGATACTTTATGTTGTTTGTGGCTATTGTAAAGGGCGATGCTTCTCTAATTTCTTTCTCAGCCCCTTTGTCATCTGAATAAAGTAAGGCTACTGATTTTTTTTTTTTTTTTTTTTTTTTTTTTTTTTAGTTTATCTTGTATCCTGCTAGTTTGCTGAAGGTATTTATCTGCTGTAGGAGTTCCCTGATAGAGTTTTTTGGGTCACTTATGTAAACTATCATATCATCTGCAAATAGTGAAAGTTTGACTTCTTCCTTTCCAATTTTTATCCCCATGATCCCCTTCTGTTGTCTTATTGCTTTAGCTAGAACTTCAAGTACAGTATTGAAGAGATATATAGAGAGAGGGCAGCCTTGTCTTATTCCTGATTTTAGAGGAATCACCTTAAGCTTCTCTCCATTCAGTTTGATATTGGCTGTTGGTTTACTGTATGTTGCTCTTATTATTTTTAGGTATGTTCCTGTTATCCATGATCTCTCCAAGACTTTTATCATGAAAGGGCTTTGAATTTTGTTAAAGGCTTTTTCAGCATCTGGTGAAATGATCATGTGGTTTTTCTCTTTCAGTTTGTTTATATGGTGGATCATGTTGATAGATTTTTGTATGTTAAAACATCCCTGCAACCCAGAGATGAAGCCTACTTGGCCATGGTGTATGATTTCTCTGATGTATTCTTGGATTGTGTTTGCCAGAATTTTATTGAGTATTTTTGCATTAATGTTCATGAGGGATATTGGTCTGTAGTTTTCTTTCTTAGTTGTGTCTTTGTGTGGCTTGGGTACCAAGCCTCATAAAAAGAGTTTGATAATGAACCTTCTGTTTCTATTGTGTGGAACAATTTGGGGGAGTATTGGTATTAGCTTTTCCTTCAATTTCTGGTAGAATTCTGCACTGAAGCCTTCTGGCCCTGGGATTGTTTTGGTTGGAAGGCTTTTGATGACTGCTTCTATTTTGTTAGGGGTTATAAGTCTATTTAAGTTGTTTACCTGTTCTTGATTTAATTTTCATAAATGATAGTCATCCAGAAATTTGTCCATTTACTTTGAATTTTCAAATTTTGTGGAGTACAGGTTTTCAAAGTATGACCTGAAAATTGTTTGGATTTCCTCAGTGTCCATTGTTATGTCCCCCTTTTCATTTCTGATTTTGTTAATTTGTGTGTTCTCTCTGCTTTTTGGTTAGCTTGGATAAAGGTTTGTCTATCTTGTTGATTTTCTCAAAAAAACAACTCTTTGTTGCAATGTTCTTTTGGTATTCTTTTCCTGGTTTCTACTTTATTGATTTCAGCCCTCAAATTGATTATTTCCTGGTGTCTACTCCTCTGGGATGAATTTGCTTCTTTTTGTTCTAAGGTGTAAGGAGTATGGGTTTTTCCTCCCGCCGCCAGTCTTGTCCCGCCACCGCGCCAGCCCCAAATAATACACAGAGACTCTGTATTAGATATTATACCGTTGGCCAGTTACTACTTCTTATCGGCTAGCTCTGTCTTAAGTATTAACCCATTTGTGTAAATCTATGTATTTCCATGTGGTCTTCTTACAGGGAGCCGGCTGCCACAGACAGCTCTCTCCAGACTCTCCATCTTTTCCCCTCCTTCCTACTTCCTCTTCCTCCTTGTCTCCTAGCCCCTCCTATCTTCCTTTCCTATTGGCCAACAGTGCTTTATTTATTAACCAGTATGAGAAACATATACAGAATGACCTCTCCCATCATCTACTCTTTTCTGTCTAAATAAAAAGAAGGGTTTTAACCTTAACATAGCAAAATATATTATACAACAGTTATCAAGTAAGAATCACAGTTAACAATATTTAGTCCATTAACATTTAGCAAGATTTGAAGAAAATATTCCATCATCTATTCTATCTTTGTGTGTCTAAAGTCTAA